AAGGCATCCTCCCGTTAAAATCATTTTAAGAGGGCTTGTGGACATGATAGTTTGATATTCAAGGGAGCAATTAAACGAGAAGTAACCTTATTCATTGCATAATTCATTATTGGATGTATATAATTGAGCACTTTCATTGCTTATAACATTGACATTATTAAAATTCAGAATCTGAGATATTGGGTCAATTCAGAAACTTCTCAGTCAGTAATTCGATGCACACATCATGTGGAAGAGGACTACATGAGCAGCTGTGCATAATAATTGATTATGTTAATTCTTTAGTATCCTTTGCGCTTTCATTAAGTAACACATAATGAAGCTTTATTAATGCAGCTAATAAGCCAGTGGAGGTGCAGATGTAACACCGAGATTATGATCACGTCGCGTGAACTCATGAATTTCTTTTTAACAATTCATATGGGTGAAAATTAGTATATTCGTAACTTCTCTTCTCTACTGTTGAACAGATTTTTAATGACTATCGTTAATTTTTTAGGATTTTTTGAAATATATAAAATTATGTAAGCCAGTTGACTAAATTAGTGTTTCTTAAATTTCGTTTGATTCCTTAAAAGATATTAACAAATTCCTTCTCATACGGACAGAGCATAATGTACAACTTCTATTTATTGTTGTGAACTAAGAACTAAAGTATATTCCTTCGCTTTTAAGGAATGTTATGGTTATTTCATTGGTGGCTTCTTTTTTTTTTTTTTTGCTTTAATATAATGAACACTATGTTACTATAAGCAATTGAGGATTGTGTGCATTTCGTGTAATCCCTTCTTAGGTGAGTACTATCATTTTTGAAGCTAATTCACAACACACTGGTGGGGATCACCCAAGCATACATATAACTATTATGCCGAAAATGAAAAAACATAGTGATCCTTTTCAAAATTTCCGAGATATTTTTTCAATGTGCAATGCATATATATGGGGCGCTATGCAGGAACCATAAAAGAGAATAAGCAATAAATTTCATAGCACTCTAAAACAAGCACATACCGGACTTAATGCACTATGGGTGCATGAAGGAGCATTGTACTTTTGCATTATGCGAACTCCCCTTTTTTTTTTACTCCCACGTCAAGAAACGTAGCTCCCTGTTCTTATCTATTACCAGGAAGAAGATGTGAATGATTACAGAACAATTCTAATTGTTAATAATTTAGTATGATTACATTATAGGACTATGAAAATGGTATGAGAAACAAAAAGTACAAAAAAAGTATTAGAATATTTAGCAGCATTATTTTTATAATGTCTCATATGTTGTAGTAAATATAAATTCAATTTACTTAAAGAAGAAAGAATTCCCAAAAAATTGGGCAACAAATTATTTCAACAAGGAAGAAGAGAAAAAAAAATAATAAGATAGAACAATTACAAATTCCACCACAATCAATACAATATATATGTATATATCTCTCCATATACATATATATAGAGTGGCACATGTGGACATAACTGCGAGAACTCAAATGTCGTTACTAAAAGAATTTTTCAATATTCTCGGCCCCTCTTAGTATCACTCAGGTGATAGACTTAAAGGAAAGGAAAAACTCGAATTATTAATTTTATAAATAAAGTTGTACGAGCCAAGTTTTTCGTTTTAATTGTGCAGATATTTTTCATTATAGCTTATGTTTTGCACTTTGATGTAATGCTCATAACAGAAGAATTCCATGTGGGCGATTATTTTGTCCCAATGAGTCTCTTCCTTATTTTTCCATTTACAGAGTGTGAAAAATTCAGGTATTTGCACGTTGCCCTATTTTGTACACTATGCATGTTCAGCATAATTATGTCTTCACATTTCGGAAAATGATTTACATACAGCATTACTAGTGTGGGTATATCTATACACAGGAATAATATATATGTGCGCGCATATAGCATGTTCCGCCTGCCCACAAAATCGTAGTTGCAAAATCCTTCTACTCTTCGCCTGTAGCTATCCGTCAGGGTCAGGTTAGCGTACTGTTCTACGTTCTTTAAGTATGGGCCAGGTTACCTAGAAGTGTATGCTATGCTGTACTCACTTACATCGGAAGTAGTACTAGAACAATCAGAACTGTCCGAAACTGAATCCTCATCTACGGAATAATTATCATAGTGAAAGTCTCTTATTATTCGTTTACGTCTTCGTGAGAAGAGGTTTCCAAATGGAGTGAACTGTAATTTAAATAAATTATATAAATCGGAAATGTATAGTGCTTATGCTTCATCAGCAGAATATGTAATAAAATGTGTAATATCTATTATTAATCGGTGAAGGAAATCATTTAACCTTATATAGTAAAAACAGAGAATAGGAAAATGCTGCTAATGTGATCACAGCTTTCATTATAGTACCGAGAAGATCATGTTTTATAGCAGATGGTAATATTGACGGTGCGTCACAATCTTCTATAGTTCTCATCTTTTCATCATATTTTTGTTTAAATTTCTGTAGTTCACCACAAAAATGGTGATCGTAATTATTGTGACATTCTTCTACATGCTGGCTATATAGCTTTGAAAATTGTATTACAGAAGAACAGTTGGGTTCCTTGGAATCATTATTGAAGATCTCATTGAGTGTGTCATTGAGTTCTATTAATATAGCCGATCGTTTAAGTATATTGGCTTTGTCTCCATACATATCAATTCGACATATATCCGGGCCAGGAGCGTAAGCAGAATATGCCTTTAGAAAATATGTGTATAAATTTAACGCTACGTCATAATTTTTGTCTTTGTCTGATAAATCAGAGTATATCCAATAATAGAAGTATTTACCTATGTCGTCATTATGTATTAAGTCATGAAATTCTGTTCTTTTTTTTAAATAGCAGAAAAATTTTCTGCGTGTATATGAATCTTCATACGATTTTCCATACTTCGTTTTAACCTGACTAAAATAATCATCGGACAGATCATTGTCATGTTTAAAGGACTGATCTATTTTTTCTTCCCCTAGTTTGCATAAACGTAGAAAATTATACTAATAAGAAAAAATTAAATTTCATAGTGGATAAATAATGAGGAGATATATTATTAAATATATTTAGTATATCATCTGGATTATGATTAAATAGAGAAATATAGGAGTAAAAAATATAATACTCAAAATAAATGAGGATAGCATTTACTTGTGTCCTATTCGGCATCTTATTTTTAAGTCTATTTCGTCCAGGGCTGATGGTTCCGCCTCAGGGTTCATGAATTTACAATGGAGATCTACAGGGTTCAAATTCAGGGTTAGGGCAAATACTCAACTGTAGGAAGGGGTAGGATTATTTAAATATGAATAGAATTTTCATCATGGAATAAAAGTGTCAAGAAGTTGGAACTGCACAAGACACTAATGTAGAAAATATTAAATTTAATTGTTCAAAGCATACTTGTCAGGAATATATCCATGAGGTTGCTGAAGTAGCGAAGCGTAAGGAGCTTAAGGAACTAACAGCCTCCGTTGTTTCCCTGCATGTTGTATATGCTTAAGATTTGAAAAAAGTATGCAAAGCAGTATAAAACATTAGTTATCTGGGAATTTTTTTTTTGTAATATTGAACAGATTCATTATTGCAATTTTCTTCGCAAGTTTCAGTATACTATAAGATTCGTATGTTATGTTTTATCTAAAACATGTGTGTCATCCATTTAAAGAAGGATTTAGTTCCCGAAGAGAAAAAAAATTCAATAGGAAAAGTAGTTCTTCAATATTCTGTGGTAAAGAAAGGCCAATAGCATGAAGTTCATTAAAAAAATTTATAAATACGGAAATTTTAGAAAAATTAAAAATACATCACAGTACCATAAAAATAATAATAAGAGAACTTCCTATATTTATTTGCACGGCAGAAAAAGAAAAATATATAATAATGCATTAGGGATCCGCAGTGTCACAAATTTGACCATGTTATAATTCAATTGTAACTGTTCGCTTCATAAAAAAATTTTCGACCTGAATTGCGAATCTTTAATAAGAAGCGGTAGATGCGATTTTTACTTTAAACGCAACGTTCGGACTGTTATATATTCACATTATATCATGTTTCCATTTTTCCATGTGTCGTGTATAGAAGAAAAGTGAAATGTGGCAATTAAACACTTATAAGCACGGGAAAAAAGTAGAATAAGAATAACACCTCCGGAGTTTCATTTTTTTACTAAAATACTAAGAAGTGCTGTTACAATTATATACAGGGGAAACAGAAAGATATATATACAGTACACGTGGCACCCCACCGAAACGAAATTATGATTGAAAGGTACTTACAGAAAAGATTTTTTAAGGGAAACATATAGAATCGGCGTACTCTTATTAAAGGGCAAATGTCCCGTGACAATCCATTATTAACATTACTGAAGAATACAGCCCATTCGTGCAAACTGCCCAAGAATGCATTTGCAGAGAAATCCATCAATTTCCGTGATATGTTATCCGTTAAATTGAAAAACCCAAAGTAGCAATTGGACGAAACGGGAATCATCGATTTATATAATATTATGTAAATTATCCCGCTAGTGTACAGAAATGGAAGAACAAATTCATATAAAGATCCCAAGTTAACATCTATATTGGCTGCCTTATGAAGGCTGCTTCTGATTTTTTACTGTATGTGTTATAAATCCATCTTATAAGTTGCCAGTTTTACATCTTCACATCTCCACACGGATGAAAAAGCATTGAGACATATTATTGCGTAAACGTAGAAAGAAATTACCCATATAGAGACTTCGTCGTAACAACATAACTGAACATTTTGGATAGTCATTGGAAATTTTACAAACAAGTGCATGAAGTACAGAGTTTTTGGCTTATAGGAATTATATTAATGATAACATTCGGTTAGAGGGATAAAAGATGAAGAGAAAGATTTCGTTCGATAACTTCTCTTAAATCTTATCTATGTTTTCATAAAACCCGAATTATGAACATGAACGTCGTAATAAATTTTTTTCTACGTATAGGCAATCCTAAGGATTATCTTAAATTATGTTCTAACTAATTCGCAGGATATTCACCTCGCTCCCCTCGATGTATTTTATCATCCCGGAATCGTGTAGCTTTTACTATACAAATTCAACATTACCCTATGACGAATCCTTGTACATATTATTGCTTCCCCAGTTTTTGTATTTCAAATTTGGTAAACATAGAAGAAGTTTGCTTCCATTCCTGGAATGTGCTTTGAAAAAGTTGTGACAATGTTTGTTGAAAACCAGCGATTAGTGCGTCCATATTCATGTAATACCGATTTTTTCATACTTAAAATATGAGAATAAGTGTTTATATTAAACATAATAGCACAGGGATATTTAAGATAGTCCAATACCACACTGAATAGGCGGTTCAAGTAGAAGTTGTAATCTACCAGGTGAACGGTATATGATTAGTACTCATACTTCGATATTATAGTACGATATATTAACGCCGAGTAAATATGCATCTAAGTTATATGTGGCTATGGTGGGAAAAATATAAATGTGTAACCTTATTAACTTTTATGTCTAAGTCTAATAGGTACGAATGCGAACAATATGAGTTTAACCCCTACTATACATCACGGTCACAACTATTATAGTTAGAGTGACATCTTGATTTTCTGTTTCCATTATCCTATACGAGAGGATGAATAACCATTTACAATATTTTTATTTCTGGACGAGACAATTATGCCTCAGGAATGAAACAAGGGAAAATTCTTCATAATTTGATTTTGAAGGAAGTATATGCTTACAATGTGAAGCAGCCTCATGTGAATTAGGGTTCATTTATAGCTGACTCTATGAGCAACTTGTCTTAATGTAATGCATATAATGTTAAGAAATCTTCCAAACAGTCAGCGGTCTATACATACGGTTACCTTTGGTTAGTATTAATATACAAACATATTCTTTCAACAATATATCCATAGTAAACACAGAGAGGATAATGATATAAATCGGATTCAGTTGTATGTAGCTATATGATACCTGCCGATTCGCCTAATACATTGCACTAAGAAATAATTGAAACTTCATATCATTTCTTAGAGTACACAGCAAGAGGTGTATAATTCATAAAGGAAAAAGTGGTGCTGAGGTAATTTGCATATTTAAAACAATTTCGAATATACTGGTAAAGATAGATCAGCAGTGAATAGGAATTATAGAATAACATATAGAAGCTAAAGGAAAAAGTCAATCCAGTTTCAAAATGGTTTTTACCTTTAAGTTATGATGGGAGATAGTAACCTACACAGACAGTTGCTATAGGGGGCGTATATTTATAGGAAGAGCCTATAAGTGCGTAAATATTCATGAATTTCTATGATGAAAACATGAGCATGAGAAAAAGCAGAAACTCTGTGGATATCGTACCAAAAGAGGAGTTGTTTCAGGTTCATATTTAAAAGCTTAACCGTGTTGAACATTCCATCGAATATTAGGATTTATTGGAAGAACTCTTTAGGTTCCTACAGCTTTAATTTCTATCCTTAATTCATGCAATGTTTAAAGTGTATCCGCATACTTAAGATCCATAATCATCTATACAGCTACTGACGAAGGTGCAGTAGTTCCTCACATAAAAGAATATTATGGAGGCCCTACGAATTATAAGGACTATATTGGAAGCAAGAATAGAATCACTCCTGAAAGGAGCAGCGCCTCGCGCTCTATATATGTGGGGATAGAATCCTATTAAGAGAATATCCTGAGATGTTATTATTAGTAATCCATACTTTGAATTCAATTTGTTTAAGAATTTACACAGGTTCTATGTGACTTCTCCATATATGCAAGGGCTATATTCGTATATTTGCACCTTCACGTCATTAATTTTATATGTGGAGTTAAAGGCCACATTTGAATCTCATGTATCTGTTGGTTTTTAATAATTATTTTTCTCGGAATCAGAATTTGGTTTTACATTATCGTAAGTGTCCGAGCCATAAAACTCATAATCATGACTGGTGGCCTCCTGTAATCAGGGAAGAGTCTATATATCACAGGAGTGTGCGAGGGAGGCGAGTCCTTTTTTATTTTGTGTATGGAATTTATTGACATATTCTAAAACACTCAGGTGACTATGAGCGTAGTCATGAGGTAAGAACACATGTATGTTCTTTCGCAGAATAAGGTTTGACATGCATCTGTTAAATTTTTGATCACATGTCACACAATATAAATTATACATATCCGTTACATTGTCTCTTACAGTACCATATAATTCTGTATATCGTATATGGCTTAGAAGCTTCCAATAATTCAGTGGATTCTGCCCGAGGAATCTGATTAGTCTCTATGCTGATGCCACTTGTGATTCGGCAAAGTTATCTGTAAAATTTAAGGGATGTATCTAGGAATATAAATAAATATACTCTTGATCCAAAGTGATGTGAAGTATATATTAAAGTGTTCATATAAATGCTAAGGGACAGCGCAGAAATTTTCATAATCTTCCTTATATATCACTTCAAAAGAGCCTCGTGAAGGCCACATACGCAGTGCAACAGTTTAGGATTCTCAGAATATATAGGACTTTTATTTATTTCATTCTTCATGTTGGTTTCGTTTAAGCATAGGTCAGCACTGAGATGAGGATAGAGTCAGAATGGAGGCGACTTTCTCATACGTTGGATTTAATGGTACGTGAGTCATCTTCCTGTCTTTCCTGTGTTATGATTATTTTTTGTCTTCCTTCATTGTCGTAAGATGGTAGGAAATGGGATTTATATTTATGCCGGATTGGAATGTGTCAAGACAAATCGGATGCACCACTGACAATTAAATAATCCTATGCAAACTGCTTAAGAAACTTTTGAAGCACAGCCTTACAGACATGAACTAATAACGACAAAATAAGAAGATATGTTCCGCATGGAACTTTATTTTTGTGGTGTTTGCTTACTATATAACCTCTCAGAGCCTCTTTTTGGAGGTGGACATCCTACAACACCGAATGCATAAATGCAGATATAGGTGTTTTCATTCCATCCTTTGGAGAGTCCTGTAATAATCGGGATGATTCCACACCTGAATTTTTTCTTCTTCCGTGGTTTCACATGTCTGATATAACAGTATATGATGCAAGACACATTGTCCAGATAATGTTGCGGAAGACAATCGATTGTTGCTTAATGAAAATATATGGGATATACATATTGTATATGTATTCTATTCTTTTCGAGAATTTATTATGATGGACTGTTCCAACGAAAATACGAGCTACAAAGAGAAAAATCGAATGGTTCCCTATTTGGATTCAGAGAATGTAAATGGCATGTAC